GCAGATCTAATAGTTGTCACTGATGTGGTTGTTGGCAGTTATTTTTTATTATGATAGTTTTTGACTTCTTAATTTTTATTTTTGCCATTTAGTTAGCAGTTATTTTTTGTTATAATTATATATTTTTCTAATTTTTAATTTCTTTATTGGTGCCATTGATCCGGTTCTTGGTAGTTATTTTTTATCGTGATTATATACATTTTTGACTTTTTTTATTCTTTATTGTTGCCATTTAGTTGTTAGCAGTTATTTTTTGTTACGATTATATATTTTTCTAATTTTTAATTTCTTTATTGGTGCCATTGATCTGGTTCTTGGTAGTTATTTTTTATCGTGATTATATATATTTTTGACCTTTTTATTCTTTATTGTTGCCATTAACTTATTTTGTGGTTAATTTTATTATTATTATATATTTTTCTGATTTTTAATTTCTTTATTGTTGCCATTGTTCTGGTTGTTGGTATTTTGTTCTTTTTGTGAATTGTATAAAATTATGAAAATTTTACTTTTGTTTGTCAGAAAGTGCTATTTATTATGTATGATAAGACAAATAACAGTAAAATAATTATTGATACTTTAAATAAATTCATACTTCATAATGTACTGTTCTAAAATGTATACTGCAATTTCTATGAAACTACGTGTATCATAAAATTTTTTATTTTTTTCCTTTAAATAATATTTTCTAGAATCATTTAGTTAAGTATCAAATTATTTACAAATTAAACAGATTCATATTTTATAATGAATTATTTTAAAATATATACTGCAATATCTGAAAAAATACGTTTCTCACAAAATGTTTGATTTTTCATTTTAAGTAATACTGTTTTCTAAGAATCACTGTGAAATTACTTTTCACAATCTTTTAAAGAAAGGAAAGAACATTAGTGGCATTATAATTCATGTGCCAATAATTTACAAACGATCGCGGTGAAAGTCAAATTTGCAATTGTCGCTGATTGGAAACAAGCGCTACAGAAAATTTGCGCAGCAAGCTATGCACGCGACGTAGATACAGATTGTATTCTGAGTTCTACGCGTTCTCTCCGATTTAAATAATACCAGTCTTCAGTTACGTAATAATTACATTGTAATACACGTTCGCGAATCTCCTGGGAACCTTGCAAACACGTGGTGTTACATGCAACATTCCTCGAGTGCCGTGTTAGGCGTACAACAAGCGTTGTACGCAACACCTTGCACACTCGTCGAACAATCTAATCGTGAGCATACACACATATGTACCGCTTATATGTATAATTCTCCCTTTACACCAGCTATCCTTCATTTTCGCGGCTCTCTTTATCACAACCATCTCTGGCACGGCAATACATATGTTCCTGTTGCAGGAAAGCGGCACACGATCTAATGTTAACCGTTTAAACGGCAATTTATGAATTAATCACATATTTTTGCGGTTGTTTCAAGTCAAACAAATCAATGCTCGTTGAATAAAGCTTGACAGGAAAATGACTGACCCACGTGATATTATCCGCGTTATGAGTCTCTATGTTGCCGATGATTAACGTCGATTGTTTTAACAATTGAAAGGAATGCATTGTAATGTTAATTTTTTCTGATCATAATTAACGTTGATCGTTGCGTTAGGTGAATAATTAAAGCCGGTTAGAACGCGTGGGACACATGGAGTTATAGTGTTTCAGATCGCGGACTATACCGTTAGAACTGATCTAGATTTAATGATGCTATTTGTACCAGCTGAGATTAGAAATCATCTGTGGCGCTGGGAGGAGTAGAAATTTTCGTGAGTTGTATCATAATTCTTAGAAAATTTTAAGACTGAGATTTTTGTTTCATGGAACTAGACTTGCAATTAGAATCCCACGCGTTGTGTAGCATGTTAGATTACTACGCATTGTGCAGTAACACGTTTGGCTGGTACGCATTGTGGAGTTACACGTTTAATTATTAGGAGATAGCCGCGTGTTGCATTGCAGTGCGATACATCATTACGCGTTTAATCGCCATGCGTTATATAGCAATTGTTGGATTACCGTGCGTTAGATTGGTACGCGTTATATTATAGTAATGCGTTATATCTACGATGCATTAAATCGCTACGTGTTATATAGCAATGCGTTACTTTAACAGCGCATTAAATTGCCACGTGTTATATAACAACGCGTTAGATCACCAAGTGTTAGATTGTCACGCGTTATATAGCAATGCGTTATATTAACAACGTATTAAATTGTCACGCGTTATATAGCAATGCGCATATTAACAGCGCATTAAATTGCTATGGGCTATATAGCAACGCGTTAGATCACCAAGCGTTAAATTGTCACGCGTTATATAGCAATGCGTTATATTAACAACGTATTAAATATCACGCGTTATATTAACAACGCATTAAATCGCCACGCGTTATATAGCAATGCGTTAGATTTTATATTAACAACGCATTAAATTGCCACGCGTTATATAGCAATGCGTTATATCGCCATGCGTTATATAGCAATGCGTTATATCGCCATGTGTTAGATTATCACGCGTTATATTAACAACGCATTAAATCGCCACGCGTTATATAGCAATGCGTTAGATCTCCAAGCGTTAGATTATCAGGCTTTATATTAACAATGCATTAAATCGCCACGCGTTATATAGCAATGCGTTAGATTGTCACGCGTTATATAGCAACGCATTAAATTGCCACGCGATATATGTACATATTGTTTAATATATAACAACTGTGTTCAATATGGAACACAAAATATTTTGCTAAATAAATAATAAAATTGTTCAATGGTAATAAAATTTACGATGTTAACAATGATAACAAAATATTTCGTTCTGAATAAAAAAGCATATTAACATTTAACTTTTAATTGAATACTTTTAATTGTTAAATGCGAAACTCTGTTGTGTTTTATGCAGTCTAAAAGTTTCTAAAAGGTAAGTTAATTTAGTTAAATGTTTTAGCAAAGCTAAGTTATGGAATATTACTTTTGAATTATTTATTATTAAACGTGTTTTTAAGTATTCACAAGCAATTTATCATTCAATTTATTTTCTTATTAAGATAATTATTATTTTCCTGTCGGCGTGCGTATATACGTGATACGGAACACGTTAAATTTGCGTAGTATGCAATATGTTTGATATTGGGTACATGTTCCTTGTTGATATTATGTGGTATTATAAGTTACACTTTTAGCATTTTAAGTACGTTATATTGATAGTAATGGGAAAAGTGTTGTAATATATTCACGTGCGAGTAATATGCTCGACGTATGGAGGACGTATTAAAATAATATTAATATTAAATTTAAAAAGATGAAAAACTTTGTTCGTTTTTTTTATATATTTTTTAAAAAATCAAGTTTTCTTCACTTTGTTTACAAAATTTCCCGTATTCCATATGAACTACTTTTTTTCAGATCAGCATTTTTCACTTATCACGTATCTCAATTCCTCTTTTTTTACATATTTTATTATAATTTGAACATGTTTTAATTTTTGTAGATATAGTTAATCATTATTAATATTGTTATGGTTTAACGAAAGTTTCGTTGGAAAGAAAATGTCTCCATTTTTTATAAGCTTTAAAATCAGGCGTTCTATATTGTGTAGATATACTATTGCTATGAACAATAATTTTACAGGTAGGTTAGGTTAGTCTAGACTCTGTTCTAGGGTGTCTAAGTTCACCCTAGTCTCTTCCTAGTTGAATCAATGATCATAAAAATATAGAAAAATATTTTTCCTACTATTACTAAACAGCTCTAAATTAGTAGCAATCTAAGTAATAAATTATTAGTTTGCATATAATTATATGCAAACACTTAATTGACGAATTGCTGAGATACAGAAAATTTTTATTAAATTTAACACTCTTTTATAGTTAATTTTGCAAGTTTTTAACAGTTCTTAGATATTAATGTTCTAATATACAAGATTCCTTATAATAATTTATCTGACTCTATTAAAAAATTAACCTTCTGGTGTCTTATAAAACATATACGTCCCACTGTATAATTGGAAAATTATAATAACGCCTATTTCATCTATTTTCGACTAAATAAATCCTTTAAAATAATATCTATTCTTTTTCTCGAATTTTGCATATGAATGCAAAATAATCTACTTCTTCTTTTATACAGAGGAGATGTTGCTATTAAACCTTTCAAAAGCGCCATGTCGATATAAAAGTCCTGTAAATCATGTATGTAAATGTTTACTACTAAAGTCTGACTAACATCCATTCACAAAATAGATAATACAATTTGTCTATTAAGTAAAGTTATTACCTGAATGATACCATCATAAAATTTCTGATAAAATCAGGTAATTTGACTCTTTATTTACAATGCATTGTTAGTACTCTGAGCATTTGATATGTTAACTGGCGAATTAATGCAGTTTGCTCTGCTTTCGACTGCCAATTTATCAGGAGCCCATAGTATATCTTTAGTAACTGTATGAGACTACTTTTTAAACATAAATGCAGCATACACATATAGAACATACAAAAACAGTGATAGATATCGGAACAACACAATTTTTGTCGGTCAAATTTGTTTTTCATTGTGAGAACTGCTAATTGTGAGTACTTCGGTTAGTCATTGGAGAGACTTTAATGAATCGTGAAACACTTATTCAGAAGTACACCTTTGGGATTACAATCCCTCGTTTAGGATTGTTTCTGCAAATAAGGGTTTGGGACTTTATTGCCATTCATAGATATCGTAATTTCAAGGCAAACATCAGAAAACTTTATTGTGATCAATCAAGGAATTGTTGCGAAAGAATAATCAAAACTAGATAATCATAAGAGGACAGTAATTCAAAACATCGACAACGTTGTTACATAAAATGAAAAATCTTAAACGATAATGTACTAATGGCAAATACGATCGTGAACAGTTAATGTCGGCCTCATTGAAAATATTTTAAGGTATATTTAATATGCAAGATATTTTGAACAGCGCGTTAAGTTTAAAAAAATTAGTTTGCTGAATTAAATCAATATGGCGATCATCGCTAAGAGGGTATGTTAATTAGTCGATAGCTACATCGACACCTAATAAGAACAGCATCGTAACAATGTACCTTATATGTTTACAATGAAGTTACAACGTTATTCATATCAGGTGTCGATATATCGTACACGTCCAGAAAGAGGCAGACGATTATAAAGGTAACGGAGACTCCGCAACATATCGATACAAATACCTCGTTGAGAAATGGTCAGGTTACCTGAACCGACCAGAATCTCCATAATAGTGTCATTCAGGTATAAAGTTCTCCTAAAATACGCTTTAACCAGACAGACCCCACACGCACCCCAAAACGTCTCCAACCGGCACAGCGAATTCCGTCGAATCGACAGGTTTCCGAACTGTCCAACTATCCTTCGGTAAACTGTTCCCAAAAACAGAACCGAACGGCGAAAAGTGGCGAGGCATCGGGCAAGTGATCGGTGGAAGAGCAATTTTAGCAGACACCGTGACTGCCACTGTGGACAGAGCGAAGTGACGAGAAGAGAAGAAGAGTAGGAGGTGGAGGGAAGGGACGAGGGCAAAGAGAGGAGAGGATCAGTATGTACGCGTGGCTACCGGCGTGGCAAGGCAAAAGCGGTGCGAGGCAAATGCGAGGTGAGTCGAAGCGAGTGGTGGCGAGACGAAGCGAGGAGGCGAAGCGAGTCGAGGCGAGTTGAGGCGAGGCAAGGCAAGGCAAGACAAGGTAAAGCAAGGCGAAGCGAAGCGAAGCGAAACGAGGCGACGCAAGAGTCGGAGAGGCTAAAGGCGAAGGAAGGCAAAAGCGAGGCGTGGCTCTGTCGGAGGAGCGGTACGGCCCTGGGAGGCGGTGGTGAGGCCTCGCGGAGGAGCAGCGACGACGAGGAGGTGCACCGCACGGGCCAGACAAACAGACTGGCACTGGCATCGCGGGAGTCGTCGGCAGTGGTCACCGGTGCTCACCGAGACGGTCTCGAGAGTTGCCCGTGCGCGTTTTGGCGAACATGCGCGGCGTGTATCCTTCGGATCGTTGTTTCGGTCGTTGAGCAAAAGTGCGCGCTATGTGATTCGTCGATCGTCGTTAACCGGAACAGGAATTTCGAGCAACCGATTGTCGGTGTTTGCGAGAAAATTTTTCGTAGTTCCGTAAAGACTCGAGTGTCCCTACGGGGGCAACAGGAGGAACAGGAAGGCGAAGTTTGGCGGTACTAAACGAGTTCGCGTCCGAGTGGTGTGTCGTCGATAGAGTAATCGATCGGT